TGCTGCTTGGCACCACTGCTGCAGCACAACTTGCTGCTGCTGCAGCTGCTGCTGCTGTTGCTGCTGCGGGGGAATGGACTTGTAGCAGAGCAGCGCAGCAGGAAGCCTATAGCAGCAGCACAAGAACTCCGCCCCACACAGCAGCAGCCGCAACAGCTGCTGCAGCGGCCTCCCGCTGCTATGAATCTGTTCTGCTGCTGCTGCAGTGCCTAGGAGCTGCTGCAGCAGCTGCTGCAGGAGCTGCTGTAGCAACATATTGCTGCTGCTAATTTCAACGGCAGTCTGAGTCTGCTGCTGCTGCTGCTGCTGCAGCTGCTGCCTGCATACGGTTAATCTTAGGTTTACTGTCTCCTGCTGTGTCTCCGCTTCCCATGCAGCAGCAGCAGCAGCAGCAACACCGGAGTCTTCTTCTGCTGCTTCTGCTGCTGCTGTATGCATCAGCGCACGGCCATGCAACAGCAGCAGCCGCAGCTGCAACGAGAAGGGACGGCAGTGCTGCAGCAGCAGCAACTCTCCCCACTTTTGCTGCAGCACCTCTGCTTCCTGCTGCAGCAAACGGAAGACAGCAAGCTCCTGTGCTGTTGCTGCTGCTGCCACAACAGCGTCCTCCTGCTGTTGCTGCTGCTGTGGTGCAGCAGCAGCAGCAGCAGCAGAAGCATTGCCTAAGACCAGCGGTGCTGTAGCAGCACTGCTGCTACACGTATACCACAGCGACTGCTGCTGCTGCTGCTGCTGCTGCTTGAGTAGCAGCCCCTTCTGCTGCTTGACCATTTGCTGCAGCACGCAGGAGACGGATACATCTTTTCTCCCAGTGGGCAGCAGCAAAAGCTGCTGCTGCTGCTGCTGCTGCTGGAGGGCCCGAGGCCATGGTGTGCAGGTGGCTGCTTCCTGCTGCTGCAGCAGCAACGAGAAGCAACGGGAGTCACCAGCAGCTGCAGCACAAGAGATGAAGGAAACTAAAGGTTTCTTACGGTGTATGTACACCAACCAGGGCTGCTGCTGCTGCTGCTGAGCTGTCTCCTCATGTTGTGCTGCAGCTGCTGCTGCAGCTGCTGCAGCTGCTGCAGTTGCTGCTGCTCCCTCTCCCGATTCGCCTGTGCCGCTCCTCAGCAACACCGCTGGCTGCTGCTGCAAGCACCACTGCAGCAGCAGCCCATGCTGCAGCTGCTGCTGTTGCTGCACCGCAGCTGCGTGCTCCGTCTTCTCATAGCCACATTTTCCTGTTTGCTGCTGCAGTGCTTCTGTAAGGGAGAACTCTGCTGTTGCTACCTCCTCGTCTCCAGCAGCAGCAGCAGCAGCTTCTGCTGCAGCAGCAGCAGCAGCAACAGCATCCTCCGTTGATCGGAAGGGTCGTAAGTAGCAGCTAACAGAGGAAGGCAGCTGCTGCGCCAGCTGCTGCAGCAGAACGAATAGCTGCTGCTGCTGCTGCAGCTGCTGCTGCAGTGCAGCAACATATTGCTTCACCGTTACACTGATGCATCCGTCCTCGTCTACTAGCATCTGCTGCTGCTGCTGCTGCTGCTGCTGCTGCCACTGCTGCTGCCGCTGCTGCAGCAGTTTAAGAGGAGGATGCGCTATCCTTATGGTAGCAAATATGCGGTTTTGCTGCTGCTGCTGGCTGCTGCTTCTGCCTACACCAGCAGCAGCAGCAGGAAGACCGAGAGCTACTGCAGCAGCTATTGCTGCTGCTGCTGCATCCTGTGTCCCTGCAGCAACAAGTAAGTAAGAAGCTGCAACGCGACGTTCGCTGTCAATAACTGCAGCAACAACAGCTTGCTGCTGCTGCTGATGCGGTTGCTGCTGCTGCAGTTGCTGCTGCTGCTGCTGCAACGTTAAGCGCATGAAAATAGTTGCAGTGCTGCTGTCAGCAGCAGCAGCAGGTCGCGATTGCTGCTGCTGAGAAGCTGTTGCAATAGAAGCAGCAGCAGCAGCAGCAGCAGCAGCAGCACCACTACGATCCCCGCAGTGCAGCAGCTGCTGCAGCGCCTCTATTGCCTCCGTAGCTAAGACAGTCTTAGGATGAACAACAGCAGCAGCAGCAGAAGCAGCAGGAGTACTACCTGCTGCTGCTGTTGCTGCTGCTGCTTCTTCTGGATACGCAGACCACTCTGCTGCTCCTACATCTGCTGCTGGCAGCACGGTGGCTCCTGCTGCTGCTGCTTCTTCTGCGAAGCAGACACAGAAGGCGAGTCGTCGCAGCAGCGGCAGCAGAAGCAGCAGATCAGCAGCATGTGCTGCTGCTGCTTGCTGCACTAGCTGCTGCAGCAGCGGGGGCAGCCATAGACACTGCAGCAGCAGCGCGCCGCTAACCATAGACACTCTTAGGTCGCAGCATAAGCCATAGTATATTAATCTTAGGCATACGCCTCCATCATACTGCTGCTGCTGCTGCTGCTGCTGCTGCTGCTGCTGCAGTTGGGTGTTGCTGCTGCTGTGGGGAGCAGCAGCAGGAAGCAACACCTGCTGACCATTGACGAGGATTTCCATACTATCGGGTGTTGCTGCTGCAGCAAGAGCAGCAGCAGCAGGTGGTGGTGCAGTTGTTGCTGCAGTAGCTGCAGTAGCTGCTGCTGCTGCTGCTGCTGCAGGAGAACCAGGAGGAGCTAGATAAAAAGCAAGAGTAAGCAACTGCAGCAAACCTAGTGCTGCTGCTGCATCCCCTAACCATTGCTGCAGCTGCATGCAGCAGCCCCGCCATTTCCTTAGCCGCTGCCAGCAGCTGTGCTGCTGCAGCAGACGGAGAGCAAATACATCTGCTGCTGTCAAATATCGGTGCTGCTGCTGCTGCTCCTGCTGCAGCTGCTGCTGCTGCAGCTGCTGCTGCAGCTGCTGCTGCAGTTGCTGCTGCTGCTGCAGCTGCTCCATTAAGGAATGCAGCGGCCATAGATTAACAATTAATTCTTCAAACGTAACAACATCTAAGGAGAAGCGTAGTGTTGCTCCTTCGCATTGCTGCTGCTGCTGCTGCTGCAGCTGCTGCAGCAGCTGCTGCTGCTGATCTTGTTGCTCCGGCAAGGTTTCGGAGTCTGCTGCTGCTGCTGCTGCTGCTGGTGATGTTGCTGCTGGTGATGATGATGCAGCAGAAGATGAGTCTAATGACATATCTGCCTCTGTAGTGCTGCTAGGTCCATCACCTGCTGCTGCGTCTGTTGCTGCTGCAGCAGCTGCTGCTGTTTTTGTTCCTGTTGCTCCTGCAGCAGCAGCAGGAGACTGAAGCTGATAAACAGCAGGGCGTAGGCCGCCGCATGCAACATCAAAGTCTCTTAGGATAGACAGCTGCAGCAGCACAACACGAGCAGGTCCTCCTGCTGCTGCCGCTGCTGCTGCTGCTGCTGCAGTAGAAAGAGGAACAAATGCCCCTGCACCTTCTGTTGCTGCAGAACCAGCAGCAGCAGCAGCAGCAGCAACGGTGACAGCAGATTCCCCTAATTCGCTAGCTAGCTTCATAGCGGAGTCTTCTGCTGCATCTACGGTTCCTCCAGCAGCAGTAGCAGCAGCAGCTTTTGGTGCAGCAGCAGCAGCAGCAATAGCAGCAGGTGAGGTAGCAGCAGCAACTGCTGCTGCTGCTGCTGCTGCTTCTCCATGTACACCTGAGGAGACAATCATGCCGCTTTGTGATAGAGCAGCATACAGGACAAAGTGCAGCAAGGAGTCCCTAGAGTGCAGCTTGCTGCTGCTGCTGCTGCTGCTGCTGCTGCTGTTGCTGCTGCTGCTCTTACGAATAGCAGCAGCAGCAGCAGACACTGCTGCTGCCATCTCTAGCTGCCTTAATGCTTGCTGCTGCAGCAAATCAATAGATAGACAATAAAGGAGACGTCTTGTCTCTAAGAAAAGGGACCCAAATGCATCAAAAGGTTGTAAAGAATTTGCTGCTGCTGCTGCTGCTGCTGCTGCTGTTGCTGCTGCTGCTGTTGTTGTTGTTGTTGATGCTGCTGTTGATGCTGCTGATGGTGGGTCCTCTGCGGATTCAGTTGTTGATGCTGCTGATGCTGCTGCTGATTCTCCTTCTCCTCCTGCTGAAGGGGATTCTGTTTTTGCTGCTGCTCCTGCTGCTGCTGCTGCTGCTGCTGCTGCTGCTGCTGCTCCTGCTGCTGCTGTTGCCCTCGGAGATACTTCTCCTGCAGCAGCAACAGGTGTTCCTTCTTTCGTTGCTTCCGCATTGTTGTCTGTCTTCATGCTGCTGCTGCTGCTGCTGCTGCTGTTGCTGGCTTCGCCACCAGCAGCAGCAACAGCAGCAGCAAGAGCTTCTTGCGGCAACGTGACCCCTAGTTGTGCTGCTGCTTCTTGTATAGCAGCAAGTTGCTGCTGCATGTCTTCTCTGCTCTTGCGGTTTGCTGCTGCTGTTGTTGTCTTCAACTCCTCTAGCTCCACCCGGCCACGATCCAGCTGCAGCAGCAGCAGCAGCAACAACAGTAGCAGCAGCAGCAGCATTAGCAGCAGCAATAGATGAACAGCAGCATAAACAGCAGCACAGTCATCGGCAGCAGCAGCAGCAGCAGCAGCCAACACGCTCGCTCCTTCCTTGCCTTCACCTCACGTAGCACTAACAGCAGCAACAGCAACATGAGCAGCAGCAGCAGCAGCAGCAGCAGCAGCAGCAGCAGCAGCAGCAGCAGAACTTACATTTGCTTTCTCTACTGTTGTTTTGCAGTTTTGTCTTAATATAGAGACAGCTAATGCATTAACATCAGCAGCAACAGCAGCAGCAGCAGCAGTTGGTGATGTTGCTGCTGCTGCTGCTGCTGCTGCATTAACAGCAAACCCAAGACTCTTCAACATCGTAAAATCAGCGCGCAGCACCTGCAAACTGCAGCAGCAGCAGCAGCAGCAGCAGCAGCAGCAGCAGCAGCAGCAGCACAAGCAGCAGCAGCATTACCATTTGCAGTAGCTCTAGCAGAAGCAGTATAAGCAGCAGCAGCAGCATTTTAGCAGCAGCAGCAGCAGCAGCAGGACTAGCAGCAGCAGCGCCACCTAGCCATCTATCTAGCTAACTAGCTAGCAAGTTAGCCATCTACTTAGCTAGCCATCTACCCAGCTAGCTAGCTAGCTAGCCAGCCACCCTGCTAGCTAGCCACCCAGCTAGCCAGCTAGCTAGCTAGCTAGCCACCCAGCTAGCCAGCTAGCTAGCTAGCTAGCTAGCTAGCTAGCTAGCTAATTGTATATATATTTGCTTACCTAGCTATATCCGATACAACACGAAGAGTACAAAGATGAGGAAAGAATAACTCAATACTGCCGTTATACTTGAGGTGTATACGCACCTCCTGCTGCTGCTGCTGCTGCTGCGGTGATAGCAGCAACTGCAGCAGCAAGGAGTCTTGGAGACGCTTACGGGTCTCTACACACTCATTTGCTGCAGCAGCAACAGCAACAGCAGCAGCAGCAACAACAGCAGCAGCAGATATAGAGGCGCACAGATAGCGATACAGGAAAGAATACTTCTGCCAGCAGCAACAGCAGCAGCAGCAACAGCAGCAGCAGCAACAGCAGCAGCAGCAGCAGCAGCAACAGCAGCAGCAGCAGGAGGCTTACGATCAAGGTGTGCATATGCGAGTTCAATACCCTTAAGGTCTTCCTTCTCTCCTGCAAGCAGCAGCGGTTGCTGCTGCTGCAGCGGCAGCAGCAGCAGCTGCTGCAGCAGCAGCAAAGGGAATCTTGTATATGTACCCGTACTAAGGACCTCCATAGCTATATCTACTGGATAAGGAGGACACAGCAGCTCGTGCTGCAGTTGCTGCTGCTGCATCTGTTGCTGCAGCACAACAGTAATAAATACATACATATATATATATATATACAGATAAAACCCCACATACAGCAGCAGCAGCAGCAGCAGCAGCAGCAACAAGAACAAGAGCAGCACGAAGAACGCGTACAGCAGCAACAAAAGAGCAACAGCAGCAGCTGTTCACCACCACCCCCAGCAGCACCAACAACAGCAGCAGCAACAGCGACAGCAGCAACAGCAGCAGCAGCAGCAGCAGCAGCAGCAGCAGCAGGAATATACCGTTAGTATAATATCCCTGATTCTTAATCTATTTCTTTTTAATTGTTGTGTTTCTTGTATTAATTCTTCTATTTGCTGCTGCTGCTGCTGCGGCTGTGCATGCAGCAGCAGCAACTTGAGCAGCAGCTCCCTGCTGTGTCTGCCATACTGCAGCAGAGCAGTACGTAGTATGCTGCTTGCTGCTGCTGCTGCCTCTGTAGCAGCAAATCTTTCTCCTTCTCCTTTTGTTGATGCTTGCTGCAGTTGCTGCTGCAGCAGCTGCTGCTGCTGCTGCGCTACACGGCAGCAAGACACCAGGTCTGCACGGCAGCGAGCTAGCGCTTGCTGCAGCAGCTGCTGCAGCGGCCTGCATGCATATTGATAGTGTGATGCTTGGGGCTTGGATCTTGCTGCTGCAGGTAGCTGCTGTCTTAGTGCAGCAATTGATGCTCTTGCTGCTGCTGCTGCAGCAAAACCTGGATGTACATAACCATTTCCTCCTCCTGCTGCAGCTGCTGTTGCTGCTGCTGCTGCTGCTGCTGCTGTTGCTGCTGCTGTTGAGGAAGAAGAAGGAGGAGAAAGGGTAACGGAGGATGGAGGGGTGACCACTGCTGCTCCTGTTGTTGCTGCTGCTGCTGCTCCTGCTGCTGCTGCTGCAGGGACTGCTGCTGCAGTATAATATCCTGTAGCAGCAGCACTGGACGGACCTACAGCAGCAGCAGGAGGACCTGCTGCTGCTGCTGCAGCAGGTGCAGCAGCAGCAGCAGCAGCAACACGGCCCCACGCACTGTTGCGGCCCTCCATCCCCGTAAGATTAACTAGGGGATGGCTGCGGATAGATATACTCTGCTGCTGCTACGCATCCTGCTGCTGCTGCTGCTGCTGCAGCTGCTGCAGCTGCTGCTGCTGCAGCTAATGCAGCTGCTGATTCAGAAAATCAATCTCTGCAGCAGCTGCTGCTTACAATTACGCTGCTGCTGCTGCTGTTGTTGTTGTTGCTGCTGCTGCTGCAAGGGCTAAGGATAATTCGGCCGTTCTTGCTGCCTCGCTCTTGCCTAGCGCTGCTGCTGCTGTTGCTGCTGCTGTTGCTGCTGCTGCTATTAATGTTGCTAATATTGCTGCTGCAGCTGATGCCAGCAACCGGTCCCCAACCAGCTGTTGCTGTTGCTGCTGCTGTTGCTGCTGCTAGGGGTGTGTACAGCCCCGATCTGCATGCGTATGCACAAATAATGGCGGAGAGGAACCACTGATGAGCTGCTGCTGTTGCTGCTGCTCCTGCTGCTGTTGTTTATACAGATGCTGCTGCTGCTGATGCTGCAGTTGCTGCGGTGCTGCTCCTTCTGCTGCAGCAGCAGATAGTGTTGCTGCTGCTGCTGCCTCTTCTTAATAAAAATAAATAAAAAATATGCAAATTTAAATCATCTAAGGGGAAGCCCTCTGCATATTTCAGCCTACAAATTGTTGCATGCGCTGCTGCTGCTGCTGCTGCTGCTGCTGCTGCTGCAGCAAGAGCA